TTTGCTTTTGTCTACGCATAATATGGCAGAAATTCAGTTTTCATCTTTTTGCATGAACCAAGAAAGTTCATGATCTATTAATACAGATCTGAATCTTGACCTTTTATTTTCCTTGGTATGTTGCAAGGGGACGTTCTGCAACTAATCAATCAAAAATGCAGCAAAAAAGATATCAATTCGAAGCATTTTTTTGAAAACAAGTATGACAAAAAACATTTTTTGGTTCAGAAATTTTCCCCAATAGCAGTCCCAGTTATTTAGCAGACGAGGGAGCGATCAGGGTGGATTTTAGCCTGTTATCATGGTGCTTAAATATAAGGGACCAAGACGGGGGCTAAAATCTCCACCTGATCATATTTTATGTGATTATGCTTTTGCTTCTTATCCAGTTCGACATTTACAAAAACGTCAGGAGATTGAAAACCATCCTAATGAACACCACAAGGGGGCGATGCGTTTTGGGAACCACAGCCAACGCATCTCATGCTATCTGATAAGTTTAGCATAAATTCAATCAGCTAATTAACGTCACAGTTTGGCAGTTCTTATCCCAGTTATGACAAACCCCAGTCCTTTGTCCTCAAGTAAACCACATACCACTAAAAAAAAAACACGAAACACAGAGATTAGCTGGTCGCTGGCTGAGATGAATTGAGTTTGTGTTTTATAAATAGCTTGTGTATCCCGATGAATGCAGTCCAGGGCCCGTAAATGGCAACTCGGTGTCTTCTCGACCCCTCTGGCTCCTGACCTAGCAGGAAACAGCCAGGCACGGCGCTAACGCTGGTCAGCCAATTAGAGCGCAGGTAGCGCAAAGCACGCTGAGGTTAACGAGCTCCCTCTCTGTGACCCTCCTCACCTCTGCAAGACCCCACGATGGGAAATATGAGGAGCCCGGAGCCACTTTAACTCCACGTCAAACTCCCTCCTTCTAGAATTGCTCTCTTCAGCCTCCTTCACCCCCCCCGCCAACCCCAACCGCTAGTCTCAGACCCTGCTGTGTGACCACAAGGTCTACAAACACATGCTGCCTCGCTCCGGAGGCCCACCACATGGCTTATTACTGCTGTGCTGACGCTAAAAATCAACACAGAGAAAAAAGAAAGAAAAAAAAAAGACAATGAGCGCATAAACACACATTGCTTGCACAGAGCTTCGTCGCTTGCATCTCCCTGAAGTTTACTCTGGTCTGGTTCTAGGTGGAGGGGCAATGGAGCCTCTTTCCAAGTGCTCGGAATAATAAATGGGCTCCAAATTAATTGGCAGGATTTGTGAGGCAGTGAGATAACTCCGAGGCACTGTAATGAAGTGGGACTACATTGAACACTAATGTGCCTTGGCTTTGGGTATAATTGCTACTTATGAAACACAAACAATAAAGAGCGATGAATCAAAAGCTAACAGTACACCTGGTGGGTTAATCTCAGCAGGTAGTGCGGGACAGTCAAATTATGTTTCCGGCGCACCAGTCAGCCACATCCAAAGCTAATGAAATAAAAGGAAAAAAAAGGGGGGGGAGCCACTAATAATCATCTACGTCCAACACCCCCCCCCTTTTCTCTCCAGGCAGAATTGGTCCTGTCATTTGGACCCTCCAAACACGGACCATATGTGAGTTCAGCCCTGGCAATCAGGCTGCATTGTGGAGCAGGCGGCTGAGTTCATCAGGAAAAAATTAGCCCGCCGCTCTGCAGGCCTCGCTCCTATTGGCCAGTCACGCGGCCCGCTCCGTTTGAGGGCACCCCAGACATTCCTGCGGATAATCTTTTCCATTCCTCTGCTCAGCTCGGTGAGGACAGACCAAATCACAGCACAAGGCCTGCATTGTGAAGGCCTTTTCAAAAAGCCCTGTTTTCAATGCCGTCTCTCTTTTACGCTTTCCCTCTCTCTCACCTCATACACCACAATTCCAAAAAAGTTATGAAAAAAAAAACGTTTTCCCATCATAACTTCTTTTTCTCTTAAAAAAAGTAAAAGAAGAAGAAGAAGAACACTAAATGATTACTTTTTTTTTCGAAATGATCCTGTGGAAAAGCTCCCGAACACCACGTTTCTCACGGTCCCTTTCCAGTAAGAGTTTGTTTTTGAAAAGCCCAAACAATGTAAAACCGCTGAAACCGGAGCCCAGCCACATCAGTGTGCTGCCTGGAGTTCAGCAGATCACCGCTGAATACGGCTCCCCCGGGCGAGGCTCGCAAGCCTTCCCAGAAACCTCCTGCTTGGTCACCACTACACGCCTCGCGCCTCCCACAGCAGCTTGTCATTGTGGCTGTAGTCGGGCGGCTGGAACGTTGAGATTGGAGGACAATCACACAATCTAGGGACACTGGTGGATTTATAGTAACACATTCCATAATTAGACCCATGATTATTACAGGCTCTATAAACTTCAGACTCCACCGCGGCTGTCCACCCTCTGCTGCTGTGACTGAACGGTTACTTTCTCCGGAGGTACACTCTGCTCTTGGCTGCCGAGCACACCGCCGAATTACTTTAACGTCTCGTGCAGCGAAGCAGCAATAAGAAATGACAGCAAAAAAAATCAAACTTTATCAACACTTTCACTGCTCCTCTCTTCTCCCGTTTGCCCCTGAATGCGGGACAGACAAAATAATCAAATGTGACTTGTAACCTAGTGTGCTGCAGGTCTTAAAATAGCCACAACACAAAGAAGGAAAAAAAAACCTTTGACATACTCCGGCAAGACTACACTTCTAATCCAGATGGTCGTGATTGTTCGGGAAACACATCCACCCTCACCACAAGCTGTGACAGTAAAATATGTTGCAATCAATCAAGATAACTGTGTAAAATACACAAAGATGGGGGTGAGGTTGGCGGAGTAACTGTGCACCTCGTCGTGCTGAAACTTGTCCATGAAAAAAGTATTTGCCTGTGAAAGAGAGGGTGGTGGGTTCTCGTTCCACCTCCACTGAGCCAGTAAAAAAAGACCATCCAATGGAGGGGGGGGGACAGGAGGACTTTTGAATTTCCTGTTGCATTTAGGAGGAATACAACACTCAGAGGTGCAAAGTTTATTTCTTTGCCTTTTCCTCAACAGACAAGAAACTAAATGAACATTAATGCTACTGTGCATATATTTATGTAAATGAGGATAAATAGTATTTCTTGTTTTTGTCATATAACTGTCAAATGTGACATATCAGTCTACCGCTTCAAGTTTTCAAGGACGACTTGGGGGCAAAACTTCTACTGCAATACAAACTATGACATGCCAAAGAAATGCATGCTGGGTTTGATCAGTTTAATCATATTAGTCAGTTTGATTGTATCTTTTCTTTAAAAAAAATGGTTCATGTCTGATGTAATGGAGTGATTGAAAATGTAGAAAGACCTCAAGGCAGTTTTAATACAGACTTGAAACAAACAATCTTATCAAATTCAGATTGTGCTATAGATTGATTAGACTTGGCTTGGGTTTAGAACTTATCATACAGAGCCTCGAACGTTTTGGCTGTGTTGGTAGTAACTAACAGGTACAATACATCTCTGCTGAATAAAAATTCAATGCATATTCAATATTAGCAATAGATGTGTTCCCTTATTGGGAAAACAGATCAAGACTGATATAACAGAGCATTTATAAGATAATAATTTATTATATAATAGTATGGACTTATAAGGTTTTAAATCAACAAACCACTTCAACAGGCTAATTTTACTTATGCAGCTAAGAGCACTTAAGGTCGAGTACGAATGAATTGAATTTTGCAAAACAGGGATGAGTCATTAAAAACAACATGAGAGAATAAAAGCACTTGGTTTCTATTAGAAAATGCTTGCATTTGTGAGCAATAAACAACTAAAAAAAAAAA